TCCCTTTCCTCTTTTCTGTTTTCTGTTCCTCTGCTTCTTTCCTGTCATTTCCTTGACTTTTTCCTCTTCCTTTCATCTTTGGTCTTTGTCCATTTCCGCTCCTCTTCATTTGTCTTACCCAACTGGACTTCTCACTTCTTCCCCCTTTTCATCCTACTTATCTTTACTTTCACTATTTTCCCTCTTTGCTTTAAAATCTTTATTCCTCCTTTCGCCTTTCTCATTTCTGCTCCCCCTCTATTCTTCCTCATCACCTCATATATTTTTCATCCCTGCCTTTGTTTTTCTGTCATCTGCTGCTCTCTCTCACACCCCCATTCTGCTCTAACTCCCTTCAATTTCTCTCCTCTCCTTACATCTTTTCCTTATTACCTTCTCACTCTCCTCCCTTCTCCTTATTAAACTTATTCTTCTCACTTGCCTCTGCTCTCGTCTCCCTTTCCTCATCTCACCTAATGTCTCTCCCCTTTGCCCTCCTTTATCTCCCTATAGTTCCAGAAACCACAGGAGCATTACCCTCCCTTCCGCTTTGGGACAGTCCCTAATGGAAGCACCGAGAGGAACATCCGCAGCAACTATCCCGACATGCACACACACATGATGAAATACAACCAGAAGGGAGTGGAGGAAGCCCTAGAGAGCCTCAAAAATGGGTACAGTTTTACTTAGACTTTTAACACAATTAAACAAGTTTCATTTAACCAAGCCTCCCGCTAGTAAAGACACAGCCAGACACCACAGTAGCAATGATCATATGTTGGGTCATACAGCTGTAGCTTACACTGTATAGAAAAGTTTTGTCAAACATCCTGTCTTCATAAATAAAATAAATAAAAATGAAAAAAGACTACACAATTCAGTTTGCACATTTTGAGCCCGCTAACTACAGACTGTGTACGCAGTTTGGAAGATAAGGCAACTAAAAACCTATGCTATGTTCATTAAAGTGGTGAGCAGCAACGTGAAGTACTGAATGGGCTAAAACATGAAAAGCATCCATACTGATACTGTAGGATCCTTTAGAGAAATGTTTATACACAAATCTAACTTACAAGTGCATAGTGTATGTAGGAACTCTAGTAGAATCAAACCTTTTCTCAAACAATCTTTTTGCATGCAGGAAGCTGGATGCCTTCATCTATGATGCTGCTGTTTTGAACTACATGGCCGGGAAGGATGAGGGTTGCAAGCTAGTGACCATTGGGAGCGGGAAAGTGTTTGCTACCACGGGATACGGCATCGCTTTGCAGAAGGACTCGCATTGGAAACGACTTATAGACCTGGCACTGCTGCAATTCCTCGGAGATGGTGGGCACCGATACAAACCTTACAAGATAGAATACACATGCCTGCATGCACACACTTATTTTCTTTTGGTGAATCTGTGGTGTTTATTTCAGCATCACACTGTATGTGAATGATGGGACTGGTGTCAGTCCAGTTCAGTGTGTGCTGCATTAGCAGGGAAGTGATCTTGTAGGGAAGAGTTCATATGCTGCAGAACAGCAAGATGTCTTATCCATTACACGCTTATAGGCACACATCCTACCTACCCATGCATACACACAAACACACTCACCATGACAGTCGCAGGTGTCGAGTTAATGTTCTCCTTCCTCCGAGAGTCTAAGTCCATCCCACATACACACAACTTCTAAGATGATATAATAAACAGTGTTTATGGTCAACATACGGTAACAGAGATAAAACGGGCTATGCTCCCTGGAGGCCGCTGGGGCGAAAACAGCTCAGGAGGTGGCCACCTGTTCAGACACCTAAACTAGCAGCTTATATGGCAATAATAGCTAATTGAGATGTGTTAAGGCACTGCAAATTCTTCTTATTCAAAAGGTGCTTTGTCAGCATGATAACATTTATTGTGCTGCAGCCACAAAGTAAAAGGAGGGTCACAGCACGACTTTCAACGCGACTTCAAAAACCTGGCTAGTGGGTTCACACAACTTGTCAGAGTATTGAAAGCAGAGCACTGTTAAGTGCTCACAGTACCTCTTGCAGTTAACACTTCCTGTTTGGACACAGCATCTGAAACGGCTGCATTAGGCATTGGGCGTCCTCACGGCGGTAGCCGGGGTGAAAGAGCCAGGGACTGGGGAGAGAGGACTCACATGCAGCAGCAGGAGCAGTAGCCTGGTGCTCTGATGCTTTAGCAAAGCTAGCTAGCCCTGTTTCTCCTATAATTGAATGTCTTACTAAACATTCTACATTTTACATGTCTGGAGTCCTGGTCCTTTTCAAGCCACATGTACTTATGCACATGAAGTCTTAACAAAAAACAGTAAGTGTCTGTAGGTCAGACTTATGTACCAAATATCACACTTTTATAGTTCAAAGTCACCATTTTACATCAGTCCAGTGTAGTGGAGTACAATGTATAAGCAACAAAAAAGTGCTATAGTTCAATACTTTGACTGCACAATACATTTGAGACAACGGAGATGGTTATCTTCAAGTTAGTGTAAGCTATCATATTGCATCATCATACAGTACTCTGCTCACACATTTCCCCTCTCCTCCCATAAAACCCTGTCCCTCCAGGCGATACCGAGCGTTTGGAGACAGTGTGGTTGTCGGGTATCTGCCAGAATGAGAAGAACGAGGTGATGAGTAGCAAGCTGGACATCGACAACATGGCGGGTGTCTTCTACATGCTGCTTGTGGCCATGGGCCTCAGCCTGCTGGTGTTTGCCTGGGAGCACCTACTGTACTGGAAACTACGACACTCCCTCCACAAGTCTCACAAACTTGATTTCCTGCTGGCCATCAGCAGGGTGAGATTTGCAAATGAGTAACTGATTAGTAGTTTTCTTTGGAGAGCTGTGTTGTTTATGGTTTATGAATCCTTGATTGGGTAGATTACTGATTGTTTAATTTATGGAAGTATGACTGATAAAATTGCTTCACAGATTTTTTTTTACATTGATTATTTAAATACATGACAGGTTTGCTGGCTTTAATTGGATTAGGTAAATAACAGCTTGGTTGAGTGATTGAATGATTGGATAGCTGACTATTTTTAACCAGCTTGTAAGTTGCTTTTTTTGCACTCGATATGCTTTTTGGATGAAATGGCTTTTATGTGATAATAAATTAGTGCAAATGGGTGTATTTGCAATTACACTATCTTTGGAGGGTCCTGTTGTAAAATTAGCTAAAAATGGTGCTGCATTCTTATTAGAGGGAAGAGTAGAGAGAAAAAAAGAAAAAAGCAGCAATAATTCTAGTATTTACTCAGCATTTAAGTTTGATTGCTTAATGTTCATTTGCAATTAGCCTAAATCAGTCCCAGACTCCCAATGCCATTTGAGAATGTGGTTATTAAGGCAAAAGCTCTGAATGAAGTTACAGCCAGGGAAGTGTCTATGAACTCCAGCCTCTGTGGTCCTCTGCAGTGTAATTACACCATTGTGCCTGGATTCGGGTTCTATCAGATTAAAGGCTAAATGACTATCTGATCATTAATCTGTGTGGGGTGGCCCTAAGGGCCGTATTAAATATGGCGCTTTCAGGATCTCTCAGCCAACTGTAAATAGCGAGCATCCATGGGATTTCACTCTGTCTGTCCATGAAGTTGGAGACTGTTTATTCTGCAGGGGACTTGAGCCATGCATGTTGCATCTACTGGGGCAATTCTTTCAGCTTGAACTGTTTTTCTTTGAGTCCCAGGAGAATGCATAATGAATTTGTGACTAAGTCCTGCTCCAGTAATAAAATGAGATATTAATGAAATCAGTTTTTTTTTAACTGCCAGTAGGGTTTTATTAGTTAGGAGGTGGATCATCACTTTGACATGCACAAATTGGTTGAAATCTCATTTGTGAAATTGTACCCTTGGGACCACTAGGTTGATTCAAGGTTAAACAGTTTGTGGCCAACTACTGATTTAATTACAAATAATTAAATGACTCATACTTCTCATACTACCTCTCATTATTTCCTTATCTTTTTCATTCTTTGTTTATCTCTGTATCTCAGGGTATTTACAGTTGTTTCAATGGAGTGGAGGATCCTGGGCATTCATCTGGTTTGGCCAAACCTGACCTCACCTCCAACTATGCTCAAGCAAACATGCTAAAGATGCTTCGCACTGCCAAGGACCTGGTCTCCACTGCAAATGTTGAGAGCTCTTTGGACAATGCCACCAAGACCATAGAGCAGTTGAGCCGTCACGGACACAAGCTGCCACAGAGGCCGTACCTGGAGGATTTCCTTATGTCACAGAGAATCATTCCTCCCTCCCCCAGTGCTCCCTAACCCCACCTCTCACTGCTGTTACCTCTCTGAAACAACACAGAGGTGTGACGAGGCCCACACCACTCCGCTACACGCTCCCAACACGTTCTACTTCATGTCTGTATGACCGGCCTCTGCCCGTGTCCAGCCTCAGTAGCCCCCATCTGGCTGTGGGTGAGCCACTCCCTCATCAGCACCCACACCATTACCAGACCACTGGGAGACTCTACGTAGACACCCGTTCTCACTCACCTTTCATCCCCTACACTGATCTCCAGCTACCTGACATCTACACCTCTCACCCCATCTCTTCACCCCAAAGTCAACATGTCCAAGCAGGGTTCTCTCAACAAAAAAGGAGGTCCAAGAGTTTCCAGTATGAGGATGGGGATGTGGAGAGGAGAAAAACTAGGGACCAGGAAAAGAGTGACAAAAATTCCATCTGTCTGAGTGTGCTCAAAGCAAACCACATCTCTGCCCCAAGTGTTGACAACATCTACTCAGGAGAAGTGATGTGCCCTCGGGTAGAGAACTACAGCTCCTGGCCCCCAGAGGACCTTGTGCTGAGAGGGAGACGCAGACACCGCCGCCCCTCTTTCCTTAAAGCCACTTGGGGCAGTGAGCAGGTCCGCCAGCTTGATGAATCCCAGTCATCCCTGTCAAGCCAGTCACCTTCCACCCTACCAGACCTGTTCCCATGCATTCTGACCCCAACCACACCTGTCAAGCCCTACAACCCTGCCTACCTTCGAAACAGCCTGTGCCTCCCAAGGAACCAGGCTTACCTCCACATAAGAGAGGATCAGAGGAGGCCCAATGGGCGTAAGGGCCAGAGGCTGCGTTACTCCCACTCTACCCATCTGCCCACATATGGAGAAGCAGTGCGCCAAGGGACTGACTTAGGGCAGGGAATGGTACGGAGAGCAACCAGCTTGCTTAGCAGACAGTATGCCCACTACCTGAACTCATATCCGGGGTTACCCCTCTACCATGGCCCTCTGGACCTACAGCACCACAGCCAGGCCTCCAGCAGCCACCTGAGCCCCAGCCCAGTGTGCCAGCTGCTGGCTTGTGGTGGTGGGCAATGTGGGGGCCAGCAAACCCTGCTGTACCCAGACGGTGTGTATGGAGCCTATGGTATCTATCAGGGGTCCCAGACTGGCTCAGAGAACCCGCTAGGCCAGGGAGCGGGGAGTCAGCCTACAGGGAGCCCCTGCGTTCCTCGACCCTGGCGACGGGTGTCCAGTCTAGAGTCTGAGGTGTGACCTGAAACCAGAAGGACCTCCTAAGACAGATACTTTGGAGTTACAAAGGACAAGGCCACTGTGGAGAGGGTGTAGTGATCAGATTTACAGAGAAAGGTTACGACTTGTAATTGCTGATTTTCTACATGACTCTAAATAGTAAAGAATGGAAGCTTGAGTCTGCAAATTTTACAGACGTTTGTGATCTGATGAAAACTGCACTGTTACTAATGTATCCTAGAAAAGCTGTGGCAGGCTACTCATTGCTTTCCTATGACACTTGTGTTTTCTGTGCTTCAGTGTGCACTAAAATTTACAACAGTCCATGATGTTGGCGCATGGTTAAACTATAACCAGAGTTTTAATGATGTGTGTTTTGTGTATATCTTATTGTGGATGGTTGGGATTCCGTCTTGGGTGCTGTCAAGCAATTAATTGTTTACAGCTGGGGTAAAATAAGGGATTGTCTTCAAATACAGTCACCAAAAACAAGCAGCCACTGTAGCAAGGTTTGTGAAGATAGCTGTGATGTACGCATGAAGAATTTAATTCCAAACTAAGAATAATTCAATATTTAAACATTTTGACACTGAACATGGAAGAGCAGCAGTTGTCTGTAATAAAATAATTATTCTGAGACATCTGTTAGCAGTTAATATCTTTAAATATTTAAAATGCTTTGGAGCTAAACCCTTCATGTCTTCACTTGGTGGGTCTGATGATGCAGAGACTTTGTGAAAGCAGTCCATATGAACACAATCTGCTAAATGATGAAAGTATTGGAACAGCACTGACCAGCACTAGGTGTCTTAAACCATGGACTCTTGTTCCTCACTGGGTCTCAGTTTGAGGCTACAGTATAGCACAGGATCACACAGGGCCTCACAATAAATAACTTATGTATTCTAAATACTATATTATGTGTTATTTGAGGCTCTTAATGTCATATTCATGTGTTCTACATATGGTAGGAATTTATAACCACTCTTAAAATTTTCTAATCACACTTCTGGCACATCTTGAGTTTTCTTTTTGTTAAGCTGTTGCCGAATCAATAGAATATTTATTACTGTATCAACTCTGAGCTCACCTATATTAAGATTTTCATCACTCTTTTCCACCCTCTTATATTCCCTCATCATCCCTCCTTTTTCCCTCTAATCATAATGATCAAATTTAAATGAAGTAATTGAAAACTATTCTAGTATCTATACTACCTGTCTCCTTCATCCTGTAATTAATCACGTAGACCAATTAAAGAGCCTTTTTGGATGAGCATGCATGTGTCCCTCTTGTGAAGCCTTTATCACTGTCTATGTCTATTTTGTAGAGGAAAGGGGTATTTTAATGGAGAAATGTTAGCCTCGAACAAACAGTTTGATATTTTAGGAAATATACTTATTTGTTTTTGTGCAAATAGGTGGATGAGGAGACTGATACCATTCCAGTTAGCTTAGCATAATGATCAGACATGCCTGGCTATCCAAAGGCAAGAGAATCTCATAATCAGCTCCTCTCAAGCTCATTAATGTACTACATGTTGTGCAAAAAATGAACAATACAAACGGTAAAGCAGGGGCTTATAATGGGAGACTATATGTGGGACTATTCAACTGCAGATGGGAGATGAGTGAGTTTGGGAGGTAGGCAGCTTTGAACAAAGCAAGGCTAGCTGTTTCCTGTCGTTTCCAATACAGACACTGCAGCAGTGTTAATCTTCTGATCTAAGTCAGCAAATAAAGTACATACAGGTATTTTACAAACCATTCCATTAAGAAGGAAACAGAGGATGGAAAGACAAAACACTGAGAAAAATTAATATAAGATAAGGAAGATGATCTGGTCGCACCAGCCGTTAGTGATGTTCTTCTCTCACATCATGTCAGCGGTCACGTTTGAACTTCTGAAAAGGTTTCTCTCAGGTTTGGTGAACCTGACAGTGGGGTAGTCATGACAGCTTAAAATATAAGCAGTGCTCATCGGAAGCAAACACAGGTAAAGAAAAACCTCTCTGCCCCAAGGTGACCCGTTGCCATGGCAATTATTCTTTCTCTATGCTGTTGTCATGACGAGATAAGACTCCATTCAGGAGACCAGATGAGTAATGTTAGACCATGAGCACTTTGATTTTTCCATTACTCTCAGCTTTGTTACTGGAGCACTACCTTAGACTGGGCCATAATATTGATTTAATCCTATGCTCTGCTTCTGATCCTATATTTTAGGTTTTAAGGTAATTGGTCTTCTTTACTGCCCTAAAGAAGAGAAAAGGGCTCAGCCCTGGTAATTACGTAATTAATTGGTTGCAGGTACTATACAGGCAGGTTTGATCTTTTTCCTCTACAAGTATCTGATAGTATGAATGGAAAAAAAGTACAGCAAAAAAAGCTGTATGCATCTAAAGCTATGTATCAAGCTAAATGGGTCAAGTATGAAAATGTTCTGTTTTAGCGTTATGGAGCAATATGTCCAAACAAAGCTTAAATAAAGTTATGTTTTTAAATGTGCTATTTATAGAGAGAGGAATTCCATATATATGACTTCAATCAATTAAGATGGTGAACACTGTCAACATTAAACTAGCTTCACATTAGCACGTTAGCACCGTCACTGTGAACATATCAGCACGCACACATTAGCATTTAGCTCAAAGCCTGTGCCTAAGAACCTAGCACGACTGAAGACTCAGTGTTATACAGTGACATCACTTTTTAGACTTAATTGGAAAAACTTATTTACATGCAGTTTAACTTTTGATAATATCCTGGTGCTAGAAAATAACCAGTACACACCCCCACCTGGTAATTCAGGTTGCACAATATTTGTAGTTTCACATTTTTTCTTGAGCAGTTTATTAAACAAAATGATTAAAATTCATTGCAGTCAACAAATGCGTGGATGTCTAGACACATGACATTGTGCGTGTGTCCTGACTGCATATGTATGGTGGTTGCATCAGAATTGATGAAGGGCCTGTCTTGACAAATGATCAAAGATGAGAGACGTGCATGTAAAAACATCAATGGAACACCTGGGACAGGGTGCAGAGATCACACACACACAGAAACCTTACACCTTGACATCAGAGCTCATGCTAGTATTCTCGCAAACCTGTACACATTCAAAAGACCACCTTGAAGCTAAAACATTAATTTGTTCCACACACAAACACACCGCATAATTTTCCACAAGGGACATTCAATGTTGTTTTTGGAAGTCTTTTTCAGTAAGTATAATATCAAGCACTGCAAACTGGTGCTCCAACTGAAGCCCACAGACACTGTTTATACCTATATAAACAAGAAGAAGCAACCTTGACAGGGTTGTCGGCCACAACGTCTGAGTCACCAGAGGACCCTAGTCCGGTCTGCTTACACCTCCTGCCTGGGAATAAATTGCTTCACGTATCACAGCAACAGCTCCAGATGCTCCGAGTCACCTTGAGATAAAAAGGCTGGTCTGCCCTCTGTGATATGTAAGAGGGAGGAAAAGGAGACAAAAAATGTGGGAAGATATGAAGAGAAGCAGAGAAATATTTGGGGCAACAGCAGAGGATATTTGTGAGGAGGAGGGTGGAGTGAAACTAGAAAAGGTGAAGGAGATGGCAGAGAACTGTCAGAGGAAGAGGGAATGAATCGGTTACAAGAGATGAGGAGGGTTTGAGAGGAGACAGAATAACAGAAGAGAGGTGGGGGAAAAGAAAAACAGAAGACTAAAAGGGGAGGAGAGCAGCATAAAAGGGACTATATTAGGACAATTGGGAACAGGTGGGAAGTGAGCAGGACAGCAGAGAGAGAAGGGGAAATTTATTTCTGGGTCTGACAGTGAAAGGATTATAATCTGAACACCAAGAGGATGACGTGTAAAACCAGAAAAATATTTGAAAAGAAAAAAAAAGGAATTTTTCTAAAATAGCCTTATTAAATAGAGATACATCAAAACCAAAAACAACTTCATTAATAATTCAATGACATACTTGCGGAAATGTGATGTCAGTGACGGCTGCTCTGGTTTTCTGACTTCAACTAACATCCAAACTAAATCAAAGCAGTACAGCATTTCGAGTGTGACAGCTGTCTGTGCATAGGAGGACAGATTTTATTGCATATGCTACAGTATGCAATAAAACTTTAAATTTGAGCTCCTGCAATGTGTATGTGTGGTATTACTCACTTTGTGGGGACTGCAACCTTCCTCATGAGGATCAGTTACTGATCCTTACCATGTAAACTCACTGAATTTTAGGGCGACGACTTGGTTTAAGGTTAGGAAAAGTCTTCAGGATACGAATGTCAAGTCCCCGTGAGGAATGAATGTGTAGTGTGTGTGTGTGTGTGTGTGTGTGTGTGTGTGTGTGTGTGTGTGTGTGTGTGTGTAGCAGCTCATCTCCTATCCTATGAGAGAAGAATACGATTGGATCTGGCACCCGGCAAGAACATTAATTGCTTCGGCAATCTTCAAGCTCACTTCCCACAATCACTCCCATCTCTGGGACGGGAATGAGCTCAGCCATTCAGGAAGCCTGGATCTGGGCTGAGCCTGCACTTCAACTCTTCTTAAAAGAAGTCAGTCAAATAAGCAGAACAATACAAATGGAGTCCAAAGCATATTCACCGTGGAAGACTTTTTCCTCCATGCTTTTAAAATGAAGATTCCTTTCCATTTTCCAGTCCGCTGGGACAGTGATGGATAAGAAATGCTTGGCTGCAAGTAACCACTTCTGTTAAATTGAGAGTTCTGGTTGAGAAGGAATTTTAAACAGTAGGTAAATGACAATGAGACAGATTGCATCTTAATTAACAAATCAAATGCCCTTTTTATATGGCACATTTCCTATTCCTCAATTTTTTTAATCATTCTTTTTTTTTTTTAAACAAACCAGGCTGCTATTTCATTTTCTGCAAATTGAGCAAACATGTAAATGACTGAAGAATGAAACCTCCATCTTAAAAACTACTTATTTGCAATGGCAAGTCTTCCTATGAGGAGTACTATTGCTGCCTTTATTATATTTTAATCAACACAATGAGGAAATGTTGAAGTACTAGAAAGTCAGCCAAGGCGGAGGCAATGTTTTTATGAGCATTTGTTTGTTCATGGCGTAACTGACAAAATAGCCAACTGAACAATTCTTTAGAATTTGGTGATGACCCAGATCATCATCCAGATCCAGAAATGTTTTAAAGGATTCTTTACCTTTGTGATATAGTAGTAATAATGTAATTGGCCCTAACCCCATAAATAATGCCTACAATGCTTGGCCAAAAGGTGCATGATAAACATCCACATAAGATCTACTGTATCTATGGGAGGCGACAGTCATCTCCCAACCAGAAGGTTGAAGGTTCGAATCGCGATGCCTCCAGTCCACGTGTCGAAGTGTCCTTGGGCAAGACACCGAACCCCCCCATTACCCCCGATGGTTAGAGCCATCGGTTGAGGTGGCGCTGCAGATGGCTGCCATCAGTTCTGTACTGGAAACAAATTCCTTGTGTGTAACATACTTGGCCAATAAAAGTGATTATCCTTATTCTTATCACAATCCAAAGTATGATCTGGATTCCACGTAATATTTCAGATGTGGTGATCCTGAATGATCATATTTATAGAGCTCACAAAAAACTCCATACTGTCAGACAACAAATGATGCTACAAACTTACAGCTAAGGTCAAATTCTAGCTGCAACTGGATCCTGAAGAAAACTGCTATTAATGCAGATATTACTTCAGACTAGTAATATTATGCTAGGCAAGGTTTTCATGGTTAAGAAATCATAATGAGGATCAAACTATAATGTGAACATTGCTATTATGTGTAATAGCAATATGGTTTGTACTCTTTCTTTGAGTGCTTTCTAGTTCAGTCAGTGCAGTTCCACTTATCAGGAACACCCTGATCATACCGGGAAGCTGCCCCAACCCAACAGGATAATGGAACAATGAGAGACAATTCTGGCTGCTTTTATGTTTATACTTTAACTAGATTTTTCTGATAATGTTTATTATGGTACACCCTTTTACTTGAATAAGATTCTGAATACATAACTTTTGCTTTAAGGGAATTTTCTAAAATTGGGGTATTACCATTTTAGCTTGAGTAGAAGATCTGAATGCTTCTTCCACCAGTGCATCTCATACAATGTATAGCTGTTTTCCTGTTCACAGTCTTGTGCTAAGTTAACCAGTTGCTATTTCATTTAGCACTCAAAGTGTGTTGGACCTTCCCTTTAACCAAACTGTATTTG